AATATTTTCAGAACCGCTTCAAATATTTCACTGATATTTAATACGTAGTGGAAGTTGATAAAGTTGCATATTTTTCAATGCAAAAATAACTTTTAGCTTTAACAGTGGCGTGCGTATGGGTATTGACTTTGATATTTTTTAAGAAAAAATGGTACGCCAACCTTTCTTGCCAAATAAAAAATATTTTTGAATTCCCCGTTAATTTAAAACAAATAATCTCTCTTGAATTTTTTTTTCGATGCGCCATTTTTGAGTAAGAAAATAAAAACCGTTCTATTGTCTAACTTGCAAAATTATTATTAATTCAATTGGAAAAATCAAACATTAGGGGTAATGAACAACAACAACTGACAACATTTACATAGCACTAAAACCAACAAAATGATTACAAAAATTGTTAAAAATGGCCCCCTTCACTTAGTATGCATGCTTCCGCCCTCCTTCTCATGGAATTGCGCACTCGTTGAAATATCGCTGGAGTGTTTTTTATTCTATCACAAGCTGCAACTATACTTTCTCTTAATTCCCCTACAGTGTTACTGGAACTTTTGTACACTAGTGTCTTAAGATAGCCCCACAAAAAAAACTAAACTCTTGAGATCTGGGGACCTTGGTGGCCGTTCTTGGGGCCCACCGCGGCCAATCCAACGATTTGAATAAACAGTTGGTAAATAATTACGAACCGCTACACTGAAATGCGCTGGTGCGCCATCATGCATGTACCACACATTGTTTCTTATTACTAACGGAAAATAAAGCAAAGCAGCAAAGGCAACTGTTGTTGAAGAAAATTGAGGTAAGTCTGTCCGTCAAGTCGTCCCGGCAAGAAGAATGGGCGAATAAAGTGGTTGCCAATAATTCCTGCCCATACGCCAACCGAAAATTGGTGTTGGAAATGGGTTTCGGTTACGGCATATTGATTTTCTTCTGCCCACAAATGATTATTGTGGAAATTTTGAATGGCATTTCGAGAAAAATTAGTTTCGTCCGTGAACGGAATCATTAATTCAAATTGCGGATTTTGTGTAATTTTTTGAAGATGCCACTGACAAAAGGTCACACGCCTTGGAAAATCAATGGGAAGTAATGCCTGTACTCTTAAAATAGGGTAAGGATATAACAAAAAATCCACTAAAATTTTCGAAACGATTTGATGGCAAATATTTAAGTGTCTGGCGATCTTCCTCGTACTCGTTTCAGGATGTTCTTCGTGCAGCTCTGGTTCCTTAATTTCAGGTGTTCTCACACTTAGAGGTCTACCTTCAGATGTTCCTTTTCAGACAGAACTAGTTTCAACAAGACGACGATGAATATTAGAAAAGGTTCTACTATCTGGCAAAGCGCGATCGGGATAACTCTGGTGATAAATCCGTCTGACTTGCTCACCATTACCGTTTGCAAGGCCAAATACGTAATGCATTTCTGCCATTTCTGCATTTGAATAATTCACTGCCATTAACAAGATCATAAAAACTAAATAATGAACAAGATGTCACAGCGAACAGATTTGAATAACAGAGACTTGTCAGATGTCAAAAGCCAGCGACATATTCCAGAGCAACTAGATATTTATTGCTAAATTACATTCTTCAATTATTACATTAATTTTCTCGGACAATAGAACGGTTATTATTTTGTTCTTCAAAAATGGCGCATCGAAGGAAAACAATTCAAGAAAGTTCATTTGTTTTAAATTGAACGGGATTTGGCAAAAACCATTGGCGTACCATTTTTTTCTTAAAAGATATCGAAGTCAATACCCGTACGCACGCCACTGTTAAAGCTAAAAATTATTTTTGCATTGAAAAATATGCATCTTTGTTAACTTTCACTACGAACTAAATATCAGTGAAATATCTGAAGCGGTTCTGAAAATATTAATTAATTTCCATTTTTTCCTAAAACAACACCCCGAGTTTTTGTAAGGAAATATTTTTGGACCATAGTTTAGAAAGCAAACTAACATCAATTTTTCGTGTAGATTCACACCGTTAAATATTCGCATATCATTAAGGAACACCCTGTATATTTAACAAAAAGTCCAAAATTGTTACATTCTATCAACCACAACAATCAAACGCGATTCAAGGAAATATCTGCAATAATTCCTAGACTAAATAAAACTATCAACTAAAGATAATTCTACTTTCTATGCTCAAAATTTTATAATGTTATTGCTGAAAACTTTAAACATATAAACGTTTAAAAATTGAATTAAAGTTATGGATCCTAAATCACTCTACAAATCTGTAAGTTTGTAGACATTAAGAATCAATATATTTTTTGATAATAAATCGATGCTAATTTATACGCTTGAGTAGTATACTTAAAGAAAATTTGTTGTATTCATATAATTCGAGTTCGGCTAAAACTCACAAGTGTACACTTTTTTGGGTATATTATATTGTTTATTTTATTGAACACTGCCGTTATTAATCATACGAAAACTTTGTAGTTAAACCAATAAACATTATTATTGTAATTACTATTATTATTATAGGAAAAAAGTCAAAGCTTACCATGTCAATTTCGGAGATGGGTCCCATACTTCTAACCATTATATCTACTTCAACAATTGCTGGTGGCCCTGAAATAGACGTAACAATCAACTTCTAATAATAGGCTACTTGACTCATATCTAATTTCATAGAATAAATGAGTATTTCTGTCAGTTTTCAGCTTAGGAAAGCGAAATATATCAATTTCAGTTTTTATAAAGAGCAAGATGGAAGTCCAATTTGATAAATATGTTTTTTATTTTTAATTTGAAACGGTGAAAGCGCTATCGGCGAAGATGTGACGTCGTACATATCGTACACAAAGCAACGACATCATTTCTATTAAACTCCTAATAAATATAAAAAGTTGTCGTTTTCCAGGTTTATTGACAAAAACAATCAGAAAGCACAAATTTTCCGAAAACTGGCGCATTGATGATTGGTAATTTTTTGCTTCAGCCTAGGCTCTTATGTGAGTACAGTGAGTCTGATATAATGATAGGCATAAGAAATAATAAGTAATATTCTTGCATAATTTTATCCAATATTACAACAAAGTGATCTTCGCAAAAATAAATTTGAGTTGCAGCCGATGAAGGTTCAGGATCCCTTCGAACAAGTCTTATCCAGGTGTTGCGATGCGTATTAACATTCTCGGATGATACAATAACTACGTTTACAATATCTTTCATGTAAACTAGTAGACGTTATGTTTATATGTCTGAAAGTTTGAGAGGTTATGCTGATGTCAGCTGTGGTTTACAAATGCCATGACCTCAGAGCACATTATTATCTGTGCTAAACATAGCGGACAGCGTTTTTGTTTGTCTAAGAAAAATATATTTTTAAATTGAAGTTTTACGATTGTCTGGGTCTCAAAAAATATAATATTAATTCTTTTGTTCTAATAGAAGAAATTTTAACTGCTTAAGACCTACTTAAAAATATTGTCAACTAGTCTACTGCGCGATACATGAAGCAATTTCTTATATTCGCGGAGTGCTAGAATTTTAATGGGCCAGAGGTTCTCAAAAATTTTGTCGAAAATGATTAGGAGCCTCTGGAGCGTCAAAAAACGAATTTTTATTTTTTCTTTTTCGCCCCTTACTCCGCCGCTACTAAGCCGATTTTCAAAAACTACATTTTTTTCATCCCTAGTATAGTAGTAACCCTGAGTGAAAATTTTATCGCAATCCGACCGGTATTTCCCAAGTTATATCAAGGATTAGAAGACAGACAGACTGAAATTAACATGGTTTTCGTGATCTACAAGTCATGCAACGTCAAATATCTCAATTTCGTCAAGTTTCTTAGCATCATACCACTCTAACAGTAGAGACTTCCAATTTGGAAAAAGATGTAATTTAAATTAAACCGATGCTCCATCATTCATAAAATGCCTAGTGACTAGCTGCATGAGCACCTAGTTCTATTATGTATGTATCGAAGAAAGTGACTAAAACAAAACAGTGATCATCGTGTGATTATTGCGTGACCAGTACCCTGATATATTTCAAGAGAGAGGGAGCATAACTGTTATTGAGCAGAATAGGTCGAGCCCTTAAGCCTTGTACAGATATTTAACAACACCGCGAACCGAACCACGCGACCAACCGCGCTGCGCTAGTGTAGACAGCTGAAAAGAACGCCGTCCGCCGTCGCGAACCTATGTTAATTAGCGTTACAGCTCGCCGTTCGCCCCGATCCAGGCTCTGTCTGTTTTTCAGCGCAACATCAATAGGTACCTTTACATTTACACTCTTTCCTGCGGGACTGGAACGCCCCGTTCCAATCGTGTGCGAAAGCATGCCAGTGTAAATGAGAAATAATCGCTCGGTTTTTAGACGTGTTCAAACTCGCATTTTCGTCGCTAGTGATTTTCGTGCAGGTAAGACGTTTGATTACATTTTACTTTCGCGCGGGCAATTGTGCGTAAATTGTGTTCTAGCGTGGGTAAGTATTTTATTGTATATACATATACAAAGTTTCAATTATTTTAATTGTTAGGTAGATAATATGGCAGATACACGATATTGGTCGAAAGAAGTTGTTTCAGAGTTTATTGAAATATATAAATCTTATCAAGCTTATGGAAAATCAAATCCCGAGAATATACAAACAGAAATTTGAAAAATGCTGCTTACGACAAATTAGTCGAGTTTTGTACAAAATTACATCCAGAAGCAAATCGAGATTATGTTGTGAAGAAAATACAAAGTTTTCGTGGTTCTTTTCGGAAGGAATTAAAAAAGATAGAGGAATCCAAGCGAAGTGGAGCTAGTACAGATGAAATTTATACTCCCACATTATGGTATTTCGACTTACTCCAGTTTACTATTGATCAGGAAATACCCACGCAAAGCATTTGTAACATGGAAGATGAAGGAACAGAAAATTCCAACCACTCTACTGAAGAAGAAGTTGAATTTCAAGAGAAAACAGAAGTAAATAATACACAAGTAAGTTTTTTAGGTACTTATTTATTAAAAACAAAAATATACATTAAGCTTTTCCTTTGGCCAACATTTCATCCTGCCAATCAACTTTTCCATCTGAATTGAAATAACTTGTATAATTATCTCGATTAGTTTTCGCAGCTATGGTAGCTACTTTTTTGTTACGACTTTCTAATTTTGTCATATTAACGGCATTTTTTCTCCAATCACCCACCTGTAACTCTTTAGTTATCAGATTTTCTTGATCAAATGATGTTGATGTTGTATAAGAAGTATCACGCTTCCTAAGAAAATTGTGAAGAGAACAAATAGCAAGTACAACGTAACAGATGTTTTCCGGGTTCTTCATATGTATTGGTGTATGCAGAATTCTAAATCTTGCCGCTATCAGGCCAAATGCATTTTCCGAAACATTTCTCGCTCGTGATAGTCTATAGTTAAAAATTATTTTACTATAAGAAAGATCTCTTTGAGGATACGGTTTTAAAAAGTTTTCATGTACAGAAAATGCTTCATCGCCCAAAAATACAAAATTGAAATTATTTTCTGTGTCTGTGTTATTTGGCAGATGTAACTGGCCTAAAACCACAAAATTATATTATTCATAATTACATATATACAAGTATAACAACTTACCATGAATTAACTTATGATAAAATTTGGTGCTTTCAATTACTCCTCCATCAGATAATCTTCTATTTTTGCCTACATCGACAAAAATAAATTCGTAGTCAGCATTGACGAGAGCCATTAAAATGATACTATAAAAATTTTTATAGTTATAGTATTGTGCTCCTGAATGAGGAGGAGGTACAATACGAATATGCTTGCCATCCAGAGCTCCTCCACAGTTTATAAATTGCCATTTTTGTTCAAATCCATTTGCTACTTCCAGCCAATCCTGCTGCGTAGATGGAAACTAAAATAATATTTTTTTTTAGAAATCTGCAAGTGTTTCATCACAAGTGCCTTCAACATCTCATGCACGTCCAACAAGTCCAACTGCCTTCAAGCCTGCCTCAAATAAAAGAAGTAAGACTTCTAAACAAAATAAGACCCAAACAGACTTCATGAATTACTGCAAGAATCAGCTTGAAAGCAAAAATGAAATTGATGAATTTGATGCAGCCGCAATTTCGTGGGCGAAAAAAATTAAAAAGATGAATCCAACTCAGGCTATTTATGCAGATATGCTTATCAATCAAGTTGTAAATAAAGGATTATTAAACCAATTAACCGAGACAACGATAATTATGCAACAATCACCAGTTCCACTTCCACTTTTCTCACCGCCTAGCCCATATAGTGTTGCTTCATCAAATTCTTCATTACATCGTCCAGAAAGAACATCTCGATTACATGCTTTAGATTCAGCAAGTATAACAGCTTACTATGAGCAAGCTAGTCAGGATTTTAGTAATTAATTTTTTAGTTTATATTCAAGTTTTGTTATCACAAGAAGTTTATTTCAATAAAACAAGTAATCTTACCTTTAAATATGTTTTCCTTAATACTTCATATATAGCTTTACATGTCTCAGGTATAATTTTACATAAAGATGGTGCAGATATTCCACTTGAAAATTTCAAATCTTCAAGCGAACGACCTGTAGCTAAGTATCTCAAAGTAGTTGTTAGTCTTTCTTCGGCACTTATGCTCTCCCGCAATCTTGTGTCTTGTTTAGAAATCATTGGAGAAACCAAATCCAACAAAATTCTAAATGATTCAGAATCCATTCTCAAATAGTTTCTAAAATCCATGGGATAATTATCACGCAACTCATGAAGCAGAGGCAAATGTCCATATCTGATGCGATTTTCCAACCATGTTTTCACCCAACACTTTCTTTGTCTCTTATTTGGAATATTTAGATACACAGCCAAGCACAAAGCTGCTCTTATTTTCCGTTTCTTAATTATTTTATCCATTATGAAGATAAAAACCGCCTTGAAAACTGTTGAAAATTTCAAGACTCCACATGCCACGAATATCACTCGCGAAAGATGACAGTTTTTGATTTACATTTGCACTTTTATCCTATACCGTTCCACGACACACACTCAAACCGTGCGATAAGCAGTTGTAACTTTTAAGACAGTTCGTATTAGGACGCGCCACGCTTGGACGCGCGAGAATTCGCGTGATTGGAACGGGACGTTCCAATCCCGCAGGAAAGAGTGTAAATGTAAAGGTACCTATTGGCTCGCGACGAAGTTGCATATGTTTGGACAGGCATACCGGTGCGGTGAGTACGCGCTCATCTCTGCAAATGGATAGACCCCGTGAAGAAAAGATGGAATGGTCGGACGAGAAAACGCCTTTGTTTATAGAGCATTACAGAACAGCGGAATTGTTGTGGAGTGCAAAACATACCATGCATTACAATAAATTAAAAAAAAATGATGTCTGGGAGCACACGTCCACAATGGGAACAACATCTGGCTTATGTAAACGGAAAATGGCAATTCCTCTATCAAATTGTTGCAGCCATGTGCTGATCTATTGGTATATAACTGCTTTTGCTACCATCGTCTCGGACGTCTTCATCACTTGCTTTTGGATAATTGATAGTGAATATTATAGGCAGCTGCTGCCACTGCTGTATCCATTTTAGTTAGTATTAATCTTTCACTGAACGACAAACGTCAAAATTGGATCGTCATTGCAATGTTGTTCGCCAAAATGCGCGCGCTGCGGTTCGTCGCGAGGTTCGGTTCGCGGTGTTGTTCCATATCTGTACATGGCTTTACACAAAACCAATGACAAACCATATTGTGGAGTGGGTGACGATACGACCGTGCATGCAGGCTGGCCCGGTGACTGGCCGTACAGTACAGAGTTGGCATCAGATTTATACTGGTATTACTGTGGGCTTATTAGATTTTAATTTCGTAGAACTCAAAATGCCTGATACGGATACAACTGATGAAGTTGTTGATATAAGCTGCACACCGCCTAAAAAAGAGCTAAAAGGCTTCATTTTAGCATTAGCGAAAAACAAATAATAATCAACATTTATAAAAACGAAATGCAAGGAAGGAGTGACTCAAGTGTTCAGGACATTGTTTGCAACACTGACACCTATATATTTTTTAATTCTTCTAAGACGAGGAATTTAATTTTTGTTTTGTACATGCTTAAACTATATCGAGATATGAAATCAAGCAATCATTTTGTTGGGTTTCTAATGCTTTCAATGGGAGAGGTTTTAAAGTGTCCAAAATGAATTATTTTTAGAAAAAGGCAAGCGATTGATAATTTGTCACATCGGCAATGAAGATGGATTTGTGTCCGATGCTTTATGGACATTTGAATAAAAAAAAACGGGAGACTACCATGAAGAAATGGATGGAGCCTCTTTCAAAAATTAGTTCTCAAATACTCTAACGAAGCTTGAAGATAATTCGGTTATAGTATTAGATAATGCTTCATTTCACACGAGAAAATTAGAGAAAATCCCAACAACGTCACCAAAAAATCTGAAATTCAAGGATGCCTCAAAAATAAAAAGATTGAGTATTGTTAAGACGCATAAAAATAAATATAACCTGAACATAATTGATGAAACAGCTAACAAACAAAATAAAACTGTTTTACGACTGCCTCCTTACCATTGTGAGCACAATCCAACTGAGCTCATTTGGGCAGACATAAAACAATATGTTGCAGCAGAAAATAAATGTTTTAAATTTTTGACCTTAAAAATATTTTGCATGATGCTATACAAAGAATAACACCGAATAAGTGGGAAAATGTATCAGCATGTAAAAGAAAAGGTCGATCCTAAAATGTGGGAATTAGGCGGTATCATTGATACTCACGTTGCCCCTTCAATCATAAATCTTGATGACAGTGCGAGTTCCACGGCCTTAGATCTAGAATGATTTTCATTTTCAAATATATGTATTTCCGGTTTTATAGGTAAAATGTCTGTGCAATAAATTTTTGTATAATATTTAGTATATATTATTATGTATTCAAATCCTTTTTCTTTCAACTCCACCTATCTATTGATTTTATAGTCTAATATTTAGATTAACTGTTTGTACACTGACATCCCTGTTCAAGCGGTGGTTAGGTATACTCGTATGCATATGCAATTATCGTTTTAATGTCTCAAGACATTTTTTAAAAGCCTGCTTTATAAATGTGCCTTAGGACACATTTCGAGTATAATTTCTTGATAAAACACGCCTAGTAAAAACAACAATAGACAGTTGTTTTCTTTTTAGTCATGACAGTTAAATAAAAAAAATACATTAATTCCAAGTTTACGTTTGAACCCTATGCATGCCTGCAGTAATTCTGCATACTTTGTTGATCGTGTCGTAGAACCACAAATCATCTATTCTTAGTACGGCCCTGTAACGTGCTCGGCGTTCTGGAGCGCGATCACGTGGATTATACGTGAATATGTTTAGGTTTGGTCTGTTTCCTCGATGGATACATAATAACACCAAAAAGAAATAGGTATATCTCAATTTCGTAAATTTTTGCGATTACACTACATCTGACGTAGGAAGTAAAAAGGAAATTGAAAAAAAAATTAAAAATTTCTAAAATCTATTGACCTTCTCCGTAAATATGAGTATAAAGGGACCTATGTAAAAAACTCACCACCAAAATCCGGTCTAATACTATTATCGTAGCCACTAAGAAGACTATCTAGAAGAACAGAGATATTTTGATGATTGTTCTTCTGAGCCACCTTAACTGCTTGGTTCAACGACACGCTTGCTATCCATGCAAACTCTTGCGAGAAAAATATCACGCTGAGCAAGACATGCCCAAGCATCCCTCAACCCTGAAACAAAAAAGGGAACACTATAAAGACGTCTCTAGATGACGACTAACTTTAGCCTGAGGAGTCAAACATATTTTTGAAATTCAGTATTCCGTAGTGATCATTCTACCCAGCCTTCCAGCCGATTTTGATAAACTGTATTGAAAAGAATGTATATGTAGACGTATAGCTGGAAAAGTCAATGTAGAGTCCCAACGTCTAGAGTAATAGAATCTCAGCTTTTCGACTGCCGGAAAATATATTTTTTATCATGCTATAATACAGGGTGTTCCTCAATGATAGGCGAATATTTGAGGGTGTGAATCTACATGGAAAATTAATGTTAGTTTGCTTAATAAACTATGGTCAAAAATGTTTTCTTACAAAAACACTCGTTGAAGTTTTGGGAAAAAAATGGAAATTAATTAATATTTTCAGAACCGCTTCAGATATTTCACTGATATTTAGTACGTAGTGGTAGTTAATAAAGTTGCATATTTTTCAATGCAAAAATAATTTTTAGCTTTAACAGTGGCATGCGTACGGGTATTGAATTCGATATTTTTTAAGAAAAAATAGTACGCCAACGGTTTTTTACTAAATAAAAATAATTTTTGAAATCTCTGTTCGATTTAAAACAAATAGTCTCTCTTGAGTTGTTTTCCTTTGATGCGCCATTTTTGTGTAAACAAATAAAAACCATTCTATTGTCTAACTTGCAAAATTATTATTAATTTAATTGAAAAAATTAAACACATTAGCGGTAATGAACAACAACAACAACTGACAACATAAACGTAATATTAAAACCGACGAAATGATTACAAAAATTGTTGAAAGTGGCCCCCTTCACTTAGTATGCATGGTTCCGCCCTCCTTCTCATGGAATTGAGCACTCGTTGAAATATCCCTGGATTGTTTTTTATTCTATCTCAAGCTGCAACTATTCTTTCTCTTAATTCCTCTACAGTGTTAATGAGACTTGTGTGCATTAGTGTCTTAAGATAGCCCCACAAAAAGAAATCTAGACTCTTGAGGTTTGGGAACCTTGGTGGCCGTTCTTGGGGCCCACCGCGGCCAATCCAACGATTTGAATAACCAGTTTGTAAATAATTACGAACCGCTACACTGGAATGCGCTGATGCACAATCATGCATCTACCACATATAATTTCTTATTACTAACGGAACATCATCAAGCAGCAAAGGCAACTGTTGTTGAAGAAAATTGAGGTAAGTCTGTCCGTCAAGTTGTCCCGGCAAGAAGAATGGGCCAATAAAGTGATTGTCAATAATTCCTGCCCATAGTTTAACCAAAAATTGGTGTTGGAAATGGGTTTCGGTTACGGCATAGAAATTTTCTTCTGCTCACAAATGATCATTGTGGAAATACTGAATGGCATTTCGAGAAAAAAAGGATATAACAAAAAATCCACTAAAATTCTACAAATAATATGATGGCAAATATTTAAGTGTCTAGCAATCTTCCTCGAACTCGTTTTAGGATGTTCTTCGACTGCTTCCTCAATTTCAGGTGTTCTCACACTTAGAGGTTTACCTTCAGATGTTCCTTTTTGGGACATAACCAGTTTCAACAAGACGACGATGAATATTAGAGAAGGTTCGACTATCTTTCAAAGCACGATCGGAATATCTCTGGTTATAAATCCGTCTGGCTTGCTCACCATTACCGTCGGCAAGGCCATATACGTAATGCATTTCCGCCATTTCTGCGTTTGAATAATTTACCATTATTAACAAGATTGTAAAAACTAAATAATGAAAAAGATGTCACAGCGAAGAGATTTGAATATCAGAGACTTGTCAGATGTCAAAAGCCAGTGACATATTCCAGAGCAACTAGATATTTATTGTTACTTTAATTTTCTCGTTCAATGGAACGGTTTTTATTTTTTTACTCAAAAATGGCGCATCGAAGGAAAACAATTCAAGAGAGATTATTTATTTTGAATTGAACGGGAAATTCAAAAATAATTTTAATTTGGCAAAAAACTATTGGCGTTACCATTTTTTTCTTAAAAAATAATGAAGCCAATTCCCGTACGCACGCCACTGTTAAAGCTAATAATTATTTTTGCATTGTAAAATATGCAACTCTATTAACTTCCAGTACGAACTGAATATCAGTGAAATATCTGAAGCGGTTCTGAAAATATTAATTAATTTCCATTTTTTCCTAAAACTTCAACACCCCGAGTTTTTGTAAGGAAACATTTTTAGACCATAGTTTATAAATCAAACTAACACTAATTTTTCATGTAGATTCACACCCTTAACTATTCGCATATCATTAAGGAACACCTTGTATATTCACAATCTTTAGTTCTAATGAAGCGTTTTTCTCAATGATTCTCTCAGGAAGGAGGACGATCATCGGCAAGAGACAACCTTTTTGTTAAATTGTACATGTCCCCAAAACTTTTCGAAGAGCGAGGGGTAGCAAATTTCCAAAAGGAAGGCAAAATCTAAGAATGCCGAAAATTACATCAAATCATGTTAGATATAGCATGATTTCGCGTATAATCTTGAGGCGCTCATCGATACGATTTGACCTCTTCCAACATATATATGACATGGTGGAATAAGTCAATCAATGCTAAAAGTATCTTATTATACAGGGTGTAAACGTTATGATAGACATTATTTAAATGGGTGATAGAGGGGGTTAAGAGAAGCAAAAAGTTTCATATAACATGGGGGTCAAAACGGCATTTTTTTAGAGAAAAGCGACTTTAAAGTAAAATAAAATCTAACAACGCCGCAATGCCCGACGCAAATGACGACGGAACGCAGTGTAAATAAAGACTGAGTTTGTTATTTTTGGCTCTTAGGTATTATTTCATCATTTGATAATGTACTAATAAAATGCAAACAATTAAAAAAAACGAACTTACCACTAACTGTCTCAGCGCTTAACCTGGTGTGTGAAAGTTTATTGAACGTATTAAAAAAATCCACTTATAAATATGGAACAATTTTGATACATACATTGTTTTTCTTTTTCAATCCCACACTGCACTTTTATTGTATTTAAAGAAGGTGCTCAAAATGTCGTCATCCACTTTCCACACAAGCTTCATTACGACGAACCCAGTTTCTTCTTACTCTAGGTCCTCGAAGTTGTCCATTTATTATTTTAGCTACATTAAAAATTGTTTCGCGAAGTTGTGCTTCAGTTGTTATTGGACCAGCCCCATAAACCACGCCTTTAAGTTCTCCCTAATACCAGAAATCCACCGGATTGAGGTCAGGAGATCTTGCTGGCCATTTTCGAGGATCAGGAGCATCTCGACCGATCCAGCGATTTGGATAATGTTCATTCAAATACTGAATGACGCCTCTAAAAATGTGTGGTGGTGCCCCGTCATGAAGAAACCACAAATTCTGTCTCCGTTGTAATGGCATGTTGTCTAAGGTCTGTTCCAAAAGTTCTGGTAGGTTATTGGCTAGAAAGCTAAGGTGTCCTTCTCCTGACAACTTTGGGGGTAACTCGAAAGTGCCAATTACCTGATCGTCAAAAATACCCGCTCAAATATTTATTTAAAAGCGTTGTTGAAAATGACCTACATGAATGGTATGAGGATTTTCTTGGGCCCACGTGTGAGTATTATAGAAATTTAATATCCCGTCTCACGTAAAAGTACATTCGCCCGTCGCTAGAATGTTTTTAAAAAAATCCGGATTTTCAATCTTTTTGTGCAAATACCACTGACTTTTGGACCATGGGTCATATGAACTTTTTGACTTGTTTTGACCCCCCCTATTACCCATTTCAATAATGACTACCATACCGTATGTCATTATTTTAGTAAAAATTTCAACTTTTGTCCAGATCCAAAGACTTGCTAAAGTTTATGTATAAATTATTCCTAGTCGTTGAGGCTGAAATATATTTATAGCAAGACGGCGCTCCTCCTCACTATGTTCTTCCGGTTCGGCATCAGACTTTTTTCTATGGCGCCATTTGAAGCCTGTTGTGTTTACTTACCAACCTGAAAGTTCGGATAAACTTCGTCAACGCATCATCGAAAGCTGCCATGGTATCCCATAACGTGTTTTTGAAAATGTCCATCAAGAATTTGGCCATCGCCTATATCATTGTTTGGCACATAACGGGCAACATTTTGAACACTTATTAAAATAAAAAGTGATATTTTCGTGTTTTTGTTTTCTATTTGTGCAAATTAAGGTAAATAAAGATTTTTCTAATTTTCTTGAAAAAGAATCGACCGATTTTAAAAATTAAACGTCAAAATAAGTAACTTCGAAAGACCTTTCAGACAAGATATTACTCGATACCCCTTGTCATTTAAATTTTTTAATGAGATGACCTTGGGGGCACAGGGTGAAAGTAGGTGAAGTAGTTTTTGGTTGAAAGGTTATCCTCCTTGACAAATCTTTTGACGCGTACCGGCATTTTTTCTTTAAATCAGAGGTTCTCAATAAATCCGTAGTGGAAGGTTTTCAAACGAACACCATGTATAAACAACGACAGGAGAGTTAAAATGTTAAAATCTATAAAATGTCTCTTGCATCCTTTTTGTGGTACAAATTCATCTTCAGAGCGCCTTGACCAACCTGGAAACATACCCCATATCTTAATCTTGAATCCACTTTAGCAAAATAAACTTGTATCAGTTGTTCAGTTGCGAAGGCGGGTTTTAATTACCTCAACACATAGCTTTGAGAGTGTATCTTCGGTATAAGAAACTCGCAGTGAGGAAAGCTATGAAAATCAAGGAGTCCTAACTAAATTGTAGAAACGACTGACGATACGGCCCTACATGCTGCTTTTCATCGAACTCCAACAAAGCCGACTGAAGGACTACGCGATTTTTCGGTAAAAGTTTCAAAAAAAGAATGACACTGCATCTTTAGGTGGGAGTATTTAAAAACCAGACCTGACAGACCTACTGACTTACGTTACTTCAGATCGCTCTGCGTTTATTGTACCAATAATAAATTGTGTATGTCATCAAAATCTCCCTATATTATATGTTACGGTATCATTTTGATTTCCTGAAAGGTTTATTTATCCTGCATTTCCTGGAGCCGGCTCCCTTAATGAAATCCTTTGAAGTTGTTAGATTGCTCCTCATACATACGAGTAGATGGTTTACTAATATCGACTCCGACGTGCATGCAGCTTAGTTTCAGTTGAACTGCTGGTACCTGGAAGTGGATTAATGAGACCACCAACAAACTTCCCCCCTGCAAACTAGTTATCGCGCACCAATATATCGATACGATACCTGGTAGCTGTGCGCGAAGCAGAGAGGTTTATCCTGACATCAACTTCGAGCAGGGTTTGTAATCGGAATGCGATTTATTTTTCTGCTCAACCTAGATACCCATGTCTTACATCAGTATGTCCATAATTGTTCAGGAGTTTGGCGATTTTACTTTTTTTTTTTTGGAAAAGAAAGAATTTGAAACTATTCCATTTCGTGACCCCCTCGTATCTCAGTTAAAAAAACTATACATACTATTTTTCACGTAAAATCTAGTGGCGCAGTCAGATTTTTTGTTATCGTTTATTTAAAAATGTATAAGCTGCACAAAAGTATATCACATTTGATATGAATTTCAAATAATAAATCTAAAATTCACAAAATGTGATACTGTTGGTAAGTATTGTATAAATATTAAGTAGGTCGTGGATAGTAGAACAATGGAATGATTATATACTAAGGCCTTGTCGAAATTTATATTTTCTGTATTATATCATATTTTCTACGATAGCTGAAAATGAAAATTATCAACATTTTGAAAAGTATCAGATATTGAGCTGCTTTATACAACGAAAGCTCCTGTGAAGCTTCCCAGTTATATTTCAATAGGTTTTTTAAATATTATTTATTATTGACGTATGTGGGTTTATTTTTTTAACATCATTTCAATTTATCCGGCCGCGAACAAAAACTTATGATAAAGAAAATCGCGATACGGAGGAAGTCCACGTTTTGGCATGTGTAGAGTTCTAGAGCAGGAAGTTGTTGTTCCCAAGACTCAGGTTCAAAGAGTATTGGCCAAATATAGATTTTGACCATACAAGATTAAAATCATTTGCATCCTGGTGATGCAGAACGGTGTTTATTGTCTTGAAACCGGTATTTGGAACAAATTCGTATCGATAACAACTTTGTCAGATCTTCAATATATAGTCATACAAAGCCTACTTTTCGAGTGAATTCTCATAATAAACACAAGCAGCGGCAACACTGCGGTGAGCGATCTGTTCGAGAACGATCTCGATTATTTTGAACGGAATAAATACGCAAGGCGCGGCGACAGTGCTCTCAGTTTAAAACTGAACGGCACAAAGTCCAGCAGTTCAACAATTAAATATTCGGTTAATTGGACAACAGACACGGTTTAAAACAATCGACAAAAGTAAGGCTGCAACTGAAGCATCATACCGGGTGTCCCAGAAGAAGAAGAAACCTTATGAAGACGGGGAAATCATAAAACAGGCGTTTTTAGAAGCTGTAGATTCATGATTTGCCAACTTTAGAAAAAAAGACGAAATAGTGTCTCCTATAAAATCTATGCAACTTTCTGCTAATACAGTGATGAGACAAGTAGAAGTAATGAGCAATGATATAGCTTTACAGTTAAGAAATGACTTCGATAACTGTGCCTATTTTTCACTACAGCTGGATGAATCCACAGATGTCGTTGACACCTCTCAGAAAGCCGGGTTCGTCAAAATGGTTTTTAGTGATTTTACGGTTAAAGAAAATCTTTTGAGGTTTATTCCACTAAAAGGACAGACTACTGGGCATGACTTGTTTACTTCTTTTAAAAATATTATTTCTTCTGAGAAAATTCCAATATCGAAAATGGTAGGCTTGACAACCGATGGCGCTCCGTCTATGGTGGGTCGTGATAAATGTCTCGTGGGGTTATGTCGTACAGATGAAGTTTTCTCCCATTTCTCTGATACCACTGCATTATCCGTCAACAAGCATCATGTGGACATTTTCTACAACTACAACGTTATGAAATTGGTAGTAAAAAATGCGAACAACATTAGAGCTCAAGCGTTACAAAGAAGATTATTCAAAACCCTTGACTGTCAATATGGGGCACTACTTCTTCAGTCTGAAGTCCGGTGGTTAAGCATGGGACGAGTGTTGAAACGTTTTAATGATATCATCTATGCCATAGTTCAATTCTTCAAACAACGTTATGAACTGATTCCGGAACTGGAAAATTCAATCTGGCTTAGAGATTTTAGTTTTCTTGTGGATATTACAGAAAAATTAAATGAACTTAATTTGCATATTCAGGAGAGAGGCAAAGAACTATCAGAAATAATTTCTGATATAAAAGCGTTTATGAAAAATCTGGAGTTTTGGGAACAAAACTTAATCAATGGCGATACCAGGCATTTTCCTGTTCCGCCAGAAAAGATATCTCAAAGTCCATTAGAACCATATGACAGAAAATATCATGTAGAAATAGTCTCTAACTTGAAGGATAACTTCAAAAATCGTTTCAAGGTATTCAATGAAATTGCTTTAATGGCGCAATTTGTTTCATGGAAATTGATATCCAACACTTTGCAACTTCTGTTACGCAGAACTTTAGCGAAGACATCGCTGCGACAGAAATGGAAGTTAATGCGTTTCAAAATGATTTAGCTTTAAAATCATTAGTCTCAAATACAAAATGTATCTGGCCTTCAGTAGGTAAAGATAAATATTCAGTGTTATGTCGTGTTGACTTGAAAATGGAAGCGTCATTTAGTAGTATTTGTGTGAATCTTTTTCAAATATGAAGTCTATTAAAAACAAATACCGTAATCGACTTACAGTCGAACATTTGGATAATTGTATCCGTATGGCGGTATCAAATTATACTCCAAACATTAAAAAATGTTCAGTGAGTTTGAGTGTCAGGCTTCTCATTAAACACGCATTTTTCATCTGAACATGTTTTTGTTTAAAATACTGCGTTGCCTTTTTTATTTTTAGTTACCTTTATTAAATCGTATGTGACATGCCATTGTAGCTGATGAAAAATTTTGTTTATTGTTCAAACACCTACGATTGGTAGGAATGGATGTATTTATGTAGTATTTATTAGCTTTAGTTTATTTAAGTTGATTAGTATGTATTAGTATTAGTAAAATGAATACATATATGCCGCATTCAACTGTGTATAATTTTATTTAAGTTGGCTTACATTGCTTACGACTAGGCAGCTCACTGCTTATTCTAAAATTATCAAAGTAGCTCAACACACTGAAAAGGTTGGCGACCACTACTTTAGCTTATCTTTACGTCATAAATTTCGAACAGGATGGTGCGCTCGCCCACAATGTCCAAATTGTTCAAAATTGTTCAGACAATAATTTTCTGCAAAAATGGTTTCGTACCAATGGACCAATTAGATGGCCTCCACGGTCGCTCGATCTATCCGTTCTAGATTTTTTCCGTGGAGCTATTTGAAGAATAAGATTTATACTACCCGTCATCAGACAATAGACGAGCTTAATAATGTCCCCAATCCGGCATATCAAAACTTGCCATAATTGTTTTAAATGATTTAAAGAGAATAACCGTCCTATGTCCACATTCCGTTCCAGAAAATTGCTACCATTTTGAGCAGTTCCTTTAATGTAAAAGTCTATTAAGGGGTCGATATCGAAGTTAATGTTATGTTAATATTCAGATTAATATGAAGTATTACAAGTTTTGTTTAGTTTGATTATCCGTTAGAATATAAAATTGTTCATAGCTTACATAGAAACAAATACTATACAGGGTGTAAACGTTATGATAGTCATTATTTAAATGGGTGATAGAGGGGGTTAAAAGAAGCAAAAAGTAACATGGGGGTCAAAACCGCATTTTTTTAGAGAAAAGTGACTTTAAAGTAAAATAAAATCTGACAACGCCGCAATGCCAGATGCAAATTACGACGGAACGCAGTGTAAATAAAGATGGAATTAATTTTTGGCTCTTAGGTATTATTTCATTATTTGATAATGTACTGGTAAAATGCAAACAATTAAAAAAACGGACTTACCACTAACTGTCTGAGTGCTTCACCTTGTGTGTGAAAGTTTATTGAATGTCTTAAAAAAATCCACTTATAAATAGGGAACACAATTTTGATACATACATTGTTTTTATTTTTAAAACCCACACTGCACTTTTTTTGTATTTAGAGAAAGTGTTCAAAATGTCGTCCTCCACTTTCCACACAAGCTTCATTACGACGAACCCAGTTTCTTCTTACTCTGGGTCCTCGAAGTTGTCCATTTATTATTTCAGCCGCATTAAATTTTTTTTCTCGAAGTTGTGCTTCAGTTGTTATTGGGCCCCATAAACCATCCCTTTAAGTTCTCCCCAATACCAGAAATCCATCGGATTGAGGTGAGGAGATCTTGCTGGCCATTTTCGAGGATCAGGAGCTTTGCGGCCGATCCAGCGATTTGGATAATGTTTATTCAAATACTGAATGACGCCTCTAAAAATGTGTGGTGGTACCCCGTCATGAAGAAACCACAAATTCTGTCTCCGTTGTAATGCATGTTGTCTAAGGTCTGTTCCAAAAGTTCTGGTTGGTATGACTCCACTAAAACTGAAACTGTATCAAACATCATGTCAAAAATCGGCTATTATGATACTATTTACGGCCTCGCTCTACCATATAGTGAACAAATTACCGCCTATTCAGAAGTCGTGCGTCAGACTTTTTTTTTCTTGCGGAAAACGAAAGTTTCATCATATCACTTTGATTTTGATAGTAAGTACTTGGTATCAATAGCGGCGATTTTTCTGAGGAACAACTACATGGACAAAAAGGCAAGCCGATAATAAAATATAAAAAAGGTGGAATACATTATCAGACATACACGAGAATAATTTGCAACATCAAAGCGTAGCAGCTCAAGTTAGTCGCTGCTAACAGGAAATTGGCTGCCGTGTAATGTACTAAGCAAACGCTTTCCCTCATCTGCAGGGCTGTAACAGAGTCGCGAGGTCTAATGATCGCTTGGATGTGTGAAGAGAAAGTCGACGGAGGATGGATTATGTTCGAAAGATTTTATCATTCGTATACATATACTGAAAACTAAGCACCACTGACGTAATGTTCTCGAGAGAGAAGTGGAAGAAGCATGCAAGAAACAGACAGAAGCACCTCGTTGTCCAGCAATCAGAGTGACGAAGCCACGAACGCTATCGTCGCACCGTTTCTAGCATAAAAAATACTACAGGTTATATCTTCTTAAATAGCAAAACGGTGTGTACTAATACTAAAGTCGAAATCACGAAAGATGACGATTACGTCATCATTTTAGACTGTAGTAAAGACAAACGACAGCGATTTGTGTATATTTTTAATGAAGTTTCAGATATGTTAGACAGAGACAAACAGAATTTTATTGCCCAAAAAAACTGTGTTGCTAATTTTCATGTATCCGACAAAGATAGACGATGTTTTCATGTTGCATGATCGGTCATATTTGAAAGATGAATAGTTAGGTTATGTTAAAGCAGGTTAGGTTGTTTTCAAATAATACTTTGGTCTTTGGTGTTCCTGTTTCAAGGTATTCTACTCATTTTTTTTTTCAAAACAAAAACTCCCCTCTAAAATTATTATTAAGGTATCACTGGAATCCATGAAATAAAATAAAAATAAAAATAATCGGTGAAATAAACCAACTTCGCAAAATCATAATATAAATTTGTTGTCATTATATTCCTGACATCGTGATTTTATCATCGACGTACGTCCATTGATTAATTACAATTTATGTTATTATGACGTAATAGTCATCTTTCGTGATTTTGACTATATGTTGTTATGTCAGTTGCATGTACTGTAATCATGAGAATCATAGCCATAAACAAGAAATTGTTTGAAGCAGGCTTTGCCCGGTAAAAATTGTTTCAAGTAGGCTGTTAGCATTTTTATGGAATGTCAAAAAGATTCTTGTCAAGCAATACTCAACAAAAATGACACCCGAACAAGTAGCGCAAGCTGTAGCTTTACAAGATGATGGTCGTCCTATTCGGTATATCGCAGAAAGGCTTGCCGTTCCACGCAGTACGGTTTTCGATGCGACACAAAGATTTAGAAAAACTGGTTCTTACTCAAGAAGAATTGGGCAGGGAAGACGGAAAGCAACAAACGCATTTGAAGATCGGTTTCTGAGACTTCAAGCTCTTTGAGAAAGGGTATTTTCTGCTACAGCTTTGACTCGAAGTTTGGGTGATGTTCATGGTACCATAGTTTTACCTGATACCGAACTCCGAAGGTGTGTACCTGCTACAAGTCCTCTATTGAATGTAGATCATCGAAGGCAGCGCTTGGTATTCTCTCGAACTCGTGCAAATTGGGATATGGACGACTGAAAAAACGTTCTTTTTACAGACGAGTCTCGTTTCGCGAGATATTCAACTCAAACTTGTTTCGCTCCCAGAGTGATGGTATGGGGCGATATTTCTTCGACAGGTACATAAGAACATGTGGTTCCTCATATGGCCTTTATAGGAGAAAATTTTCTCCTAATGCAAGATAATGGTCGGCCGCATATAGCCAAAATGACTTGGCAATACCCCAACGATGTTGGAATTCAAGTACTAGACTATCCGCCAAGGAGTCCGGATCTCAACCCCATTGAGCACATGTGGGATACACTAGGAAGAAGGCTTAGGCAGAACTATGGAAAATTTTAAACTATTACGGCGTTGGAACAGGCATTGGTAAACGTGTGGGAGCAAATATCAGAAGAAACAATAGATGGTTTAATTGAGTCTATGTCAGAGAGGACGAGAGTTGCCCGAGGAGGAAATACTCGTTTTTGATAACAATTTCTAATTACCAAAGTCACTGCAATTTCTGAAGTTAAACTGTTTATGGTTATGATTCGCATGATTTTCTTCTAAACAGCATATATTCTTCAATAATTGAGATATTGATATGAATCAAAAAAACAACTGTTGAGAAAAGTTGATGCTTAAAATTCTCATACAAAAACATATCATTCAATAATCCAATGTTTCCACAAGGCAAAATGCTCCTTGTAGTTACACCCCTTATACAACAAACCTTTTCAATGTTTTTCCAAGATCGGCAGTCGATAATGATGACAATGAAATTACCTACAGCTTGACCGAAAAATTAACGAAAATGATGCAAAGGCTAAGAGGTTATATCAAATTTAATTTGAACAAAATTTTGTTTGTCCGGTTAATTTTGTGTGGCAGTGTATATTTGACTGATTTCTATTATTAATCTATTCTTTCGCAATTCATCTATTTATATTAATATTGAAGGGTTGAAAAATGTCATCCTTTAGAGTTGTTTCTTAATAAACGTTTTTAATATTATTATTATTATTATTATTATTATTATTATTATTATTATTATTATTATTTCAATTACATACTATCGACCTCCTTTGATCGGACAGTATTAGCCACTGGAACCCAACAAGGGTTCTGAGGTTTAGCTGGCTCTTATGTTAATACTCTTCTCAGAATGTGGGCTGATCCTAGCAGTGCAATCTTTTGCAGTTCATATATATCTGGCTTTCCTGGTATTTGATCTAAGTACGTATGCATTCCCTTTTTAATTGCCTCCAATGAGCCAATTATAACTTTAGCTTTTACTTTCCACATGCGCT